TTTTGTATTTATCACTTTTTATTTTATTGCATTCTCAATAGCTGTGCAGCACAAGGTCATGCAGCAGTTTTGCCTGGCAGCTATGGTACAATTAACACGTAAAAATATATTTATGAATATATAAATGTAGATTTGTGTGTGCGTCTGTCCATTTCTCTTTTATACCCAGTTGAAAGATTATAAATCATTTCCTACAAAGCTGTGATTATCAGAGTCATGGTTGCAGACTATAGTTTTTACCTCCAAGAGTCAACACTCTAACCCTTCCTGTCTTTCTGTGCACATATATACGCACATATCTCAGCATCTATCAATGCAGCTTAAGAGGAAAACAAAACAAAACAAAAACACTAGGCAGCAACAAACAAGCAATGAAACACCATGGGATAAATTCAGAAGCATGGGAATGGATTCTCCCAGCGCAGGAACTCTCCTGCACTTTAAAGGGAACTAAATATGGGAGGCAGTGGTAGCCTTAGTCCCTGGAGGAATAAAATTTGAACATACAGAGTTCATATAACACTAGAATCAATTTTAAGTCTGTGCAGTCTTGCTGGAGCAGGTCATAAGTTTCACCTGCCAGCTTCCCATTCCCAGTTACTAACTGGGTGTTTGGACAAGCTCCATATGTGACACCATAGAGATGTGACTGATATGAGCTAGATCCCAGACTCACATTTGCTTCCATGGGTTAGAAGTGCATGGAAGGTGAGGAGAAGCAAGGCAGGGGAAAAGAATGAAAAAATTTAAATGAGCAAAACTCTGAATTTTCCTAGGTTCAGAGCATCAAATGTCCCACAGATCAGCTGCCAAGGGCTGCCAGTATCCTGAGCAGGTGCACTATGGAAATGAATCCTTCTCCTTCTCCTTCTCTTGGCCTTATTATCATTTCAGCAAGGTGTAAAATTTGATGTCTTTGTTCCCTCAAGCACCTTCTGCTGTATTTCATCCTGTTGCAGTTACAGTCTGTAGAACAGAACTACTTTAAAATACTATTCCAAAGATGAGGAACAGCACAGTATCTGAACAGCTTAAGAAAAATTTGTGAAAATGCCTATAATTCTATTTGTCCATATCCTAAAGAGATCAAAGCAGAATCTGAGAAGATCTGCTGTTTCTAAAAGAAGAGACTCATGAAAAGTATAGATAAAAAAAGCAAATGCCAAAAAGCAACTCCATTTGGGGTGACTCCAATCCCTTTAATACAAGCAGCAACAGAACTTTCTGCCTGCAATACTTATTTGGCTGCAGTAAGTGACCATGCAGGGCTGCATTTGACAGTCAGCTGTGGAACTTACATGGACTTCAGTGTCTGCTGTGATGTCTCACAAGAGGAGAACAGTGAATGACTCAGGCCACCTGCTTGCTGTACTGGCTCACCTATGCAATCTGAGGTGAAAAAAAGCTGCTTTCCAAGAGCAGTAGAGAGGGTCTAGGAAAGGTCTTTGCTCCTGCCAGCTTCTCAAGGAGTGGTAGAAGGCTGTGAGGTTGAGGAGACTTTCCTGTGAAGTACATCTGCATATATATGTGAATGTAATAAAAAAATCAAAAGTTCTTAATTTTAATAGAACCAGATTCATCCTTTGTAAAGGTATGGGGCTGACCACCCTTAAGATTTTCACTTCTGCAGAAACATATTTTTTTAATTTTCAAGGACAAAAGCAGGCAGTCAGCCATTTCAATACTCACATAAATTAGTGGAGACTTGGATTTCAGACATCCCTCAGTGCTCCTCCACTGTTACAAAGGTGGGAAGTGATGCTTTCAAAGAAGAGGACTTTCCACTTCTCCTCCTGAATCTGTGTCATTCTATAGGCAGAACAAGCGTCAGCAAGAAAGAGTCCCAAGTGTTTAGAGTACAGAGCTGGGGGAGATGAATCCTAGCACATCAGATGTTGCTGACCCTTTTCTTTTTTTTTCCTTTTTTTTTTTTTTTTTTTTTTTCCTACAGCCTAATGGCATCTGGATTTTTCAGAAATATTTATGGCCCAAGTCAGAGGAAAAATTCCTTCCTAAGTAGACCTCAGTTTCCTGAAGGATTTAATCCCATTTCATATAAATTTAGTTTGAAACCTTTCACTATCTTTAAGCATGTAGGACTAGACACTGAAAAACAGCTCACTCACAGGAAGGAGCCCACAGGAACTGCTTTTCTTGCATCAGATCCTAAGAACTCTGAAGCAAGACCCACAGAACAGCAGAGCATTGCTGTGTTTGTACGAATCCTGATTGCAGTCTACGCATTTCTACCTGATAAGGGCCACAAGGAGATGGTCAGGCTTGAGATCTCTTCTCTAGTAAAAGGGCTCCAAGCTCAGAGGGCAAACTGAAGTGTAAATAGAATTATTGGGTACATCACAAGAAAACAATTATTAAGTTTTATGATTTATATGAAGTCTTACATATATGTAGATAATGTTTTTGAATCTATGCAGCTTTAAGTACTAAAGCAGACCTACTGAAACTGGGGGCAGAATACTTACAATATGCAAGGCTGTGGGCTCTTTTACTCTGTCACATCACAAATTATTTCTGATAGATACAACAAACAGAATTGCAGAATTACAGAATGGCCACGATTGGAAGGGACCTCAACACAGTGGCTTTATAAGACTTTTCCTGCAGGGAAAGGACGCTAGCAAAGGTCTAGTGTTTCTCTTGTGGTCTCCATGAGTACCATCAATCCAGCTGAAATGTAACACAACCACAGCTGGGTTGGGTGGCTTTCAAGAGCCATCCAAGTTGGGTTCAGAAACTTCATCAAGAGAACAGAAGGCATAGGAGTCAGAAGTCTACATCATATCTTGAGTAAACTGCAGGAACCACACAGCTGAACCAGCATTTGTGCGAGGGAAAGTAGTACCTGAGGGGTGAGGCATAGCTGACGGAGAAGATTGCCATTTAAGTCTCAGGGAGAGAATGCTTTAGCAAAGCACGCTGCCCCATAGAATTATCTGAACAACTAGACCTTGCCCTTTCTGTTCAAAATCAACACAATTTAAGATGCGCAGACACTGTAGTCAGACTTGATCTAGTGTGGGGCCAGGCTAAGAAATCAGGAAGCTGATACATTTCCAAGCATCATTTAGACTCTTTCTGACTTTGAGATAAATCCTGTAGTTTTTACCTGAATACTCATTTTCATTTTTTTCAAATATGCCTTTTGTTTTTGCCATGAGTAACCATGTGTGCCTTGTTCAACATTTCTTTGCCTTTTGTAAGTATCAGAAGTATCAAAATATGGTTTTATAGTGGACTTTTGGGTATTTGGTTTTGAAGATTATCCCCACCTTTTCTTAAGCATTAATATGAAGATTGCCCGACAAAGCCAAGAGAAGAATTTGTAGTTTGATTCATTGTTTAGTAACCATTTCTAGCTATTTACAGACATATTTGCCTCATGACTTCTGATTTCTGTTATATTCCTTCTGTGAATTTATTTGATTCAATAGTTCAATTAGATTATGTGAAATCCACTTCACCTTTGTGTCTGGCAACAGGCTGTGATCACAAGGCAATGATTTCATTAGAGGAATCAAGCAAAAGTGGAAGGAATGTAGGGTGTGAGAGGGGAAAAAAAAAACATTTGTTGAAACACAAATATCTTCTGGGAAACCTATTTGAGCAATTATAACTCTCACACTGTGACAGTGAAGGGATGTGAAAATAAATACCAGCTGGGTTTTTCTTTCACTATAAATATTTCCTTTATTTCCCTAAATTATCATTCCTTAGATAGTTGTGTAGCACTCCTTGTGTGCTTAGATCATGCAAGACTTTGGTGCAGTTATTCGGTGAGCAAAGGCATCGCTGAAGTTTCAGATAATTACTGAATTTTTCTACACATAATTAACAGTAGAGATTGGTGCTTTTTTGGATGCTGGAAATTGGAAGAGTAGAAAAAGAATGCACATCAGTTTTTACATACAGTAATCTGGTAATAATGCTTGGCTCATGCTCCCACCTCTCACCCATTGATGTTCAAACTATGTATAACATGTGAGAATGACTGACAGCATTGAAATGATCATTAGTGTCTGATGAGCTCATCAGGGCTCATCGTGCATGTATTTGAAATTTTAATCTGAGCCCCTTGGCTTCTAACTTCATGATATACCTGTTTGTTTGCCTGCAGCTCTATGATGTTGAAAACAGCCTATCTCCAAGCCATCTCTAGAAAACAGAGTTCTTTCCATGCCTACAAACCTCTCTGCAACATGTGTCTGTGGGAGTACTTGACCCCACTTCTGACTGACCACCATCCTCCTCCAGAATCTGGCTCACAAGGCTGGTATCTGTTCCCCATGTTCCCTCATATGCAATGCATACCCACCATAAGAAGGCAGCGAAAGAGGAATTTGGTTTTGCCCTACCAGCCCCAGTAACCTCTGAGCGGAACACAGGGCAGCTGCTCTCCCTGGTAGCCCTTGGGAATCTCTTTCTTCATCATTTCCTGCAGACAGACAGGATGGTGCTGGACAGATGGAGCAAATCCTGAGCTTGGACAAGACTTCCCATCCTTGCCAAAGGACCTCCAACAGACATTGCTGTGCAGGGAAACAACTCCAAGAAGGGACTGAGCATGCCAGTGCCGCCAAGGAGTAGAAACTGTTCCGAAATTGAATCCTTACACAGCAAGGATGCTCCTGACATCTCCATGATTTCTATCCAAAGAATGGCTCATCCAGATGTAGGTGGACATATGGCCCAGCCATGAGCTGTGCATTCTCCAGTGGTTGCCATCTGGGTGGTGAGTCCACCAGGACCCCAGGTAGCAGATCTTTAAATAAACTGAAACTTGAAACAACCTCTGTGGTCCAGGGGATAATACTGGGATTCAAACTCTGCCTTAAACCTTATATGGGCACATCCATATTTCCCAACTATCTTTAAAAGGAATAAATGATACTTGGTGGTCTGTAGATGAAAATAAGTCCTAGATTTGGTCATTATTTCAGTAGCTCTGGCTCTACATGTCAACAGATTAAGAAAAGACTCCATTTAGTATGCATCATTTTATTTCTTGTTTAGTTTTTAGTGTTTGAATAATGGCTTTTGTGACAGATGTAATGTGTCACATTTACATGCTTTTAGAGGGGAATAATGCCTCATGACCTTACACTTCTCAAGAGTCCCTCAACCACTCAACTGTGAAGCTGTATACTGCAAATAATTTTTTCAGCTGGCGCTGGGTAATCCCAGAGGTACATTTTGCATTAGGTTCACTTTTCAGTGATTTATTTGTAATTTCTGCTAAACCACAGTTAAAGCTATCCAGCACTTGGCTGATAAATCAGCAGTGGGTAGCCCTTGCCAACGACACAGTTTGCATGAAGGCTGATGTAGCCTGGAGTCTGAGAATACAGACAAGTGAAGATGTTGTATGTGAGAACCAATGCCCATGATCTGTCTGGAAGCTGGCTTCCAGTGCACAGTGCTGCTGCCCCTCCAGCCTTCTATGTTGAGCTGTTACTGCTCGGGGCCCAAAGTAAATCATGAGCTGGGCCTGAAAAAGGAGAAACTGGCAAAAATATCCTTTCAGCAAAAAAGAAAGGTTGCTTAAAAACAAGTCCACGTGCTTTTGCCATTGCCACAGATTGGTACCAGAACCATTCAGGCCCCAGGAGATATTCCTCATTATCTCTCAGCTCCATCCACCCCAGTTAGTTGTGTCCTGGGACTGTCGGCCTCATCTCCAGTCACTTCTTGGAGCCCTCCCCAGCAGCAGCATCCCGGTCCTGTAGCACTGCAGCAGGCACGTCCCTAGGAGTTGCACTCCTCGCAGTGGCAGGAGAGGATGTAGCGGTATGTGGCGGTGAGCCTCATGCCACCTGAGCAGCGCAGCCGCATGGCCTTCAGCTTGGAGGTCTGGGGCCGGCAGCAGTGGCAAGTGGAGCGGAAAGGCTGCTTTAGGACAGTGCTGAAGGACACCATTGGCTCCGAGCGCGATGTCTGGCTGCAACGTCCTTCACAGCGAGCCAGCAGCACCATCTGTGAAGGAAGAGAGATGGGTTAGGAATGTTCTTCCAGTCTGGTTGACCTGTCATCACCAACCACATCTCTCCACCCATGGCACCCCCACCCATCCCTCTGCAGTACAGTTTGTCCAAGAGAGCGGAGGAGGTAATGAGGGCAGAGAAAAATGGAGTCTTTCCTATGGTCCCAGACACCATTACTAGTAGCAAATATTGGGCCTGGTTCTCTGACAGCTGACCTTGGGCTCAAAACATTTGCAGCCAGCCCTGTTTTCCAGGCACAGTGACTGCAAGCATGGCTTGCTGGCCTCGGGTTTACGGCAGCCAAGCCCTTAAATCATCAGCCAGCCTAGTGCTTTGGTTGGGTATTTTCCAGTGTTTTGAGTTTATGTACTAGTGATCAGTAGAACTGGTCATCAGGGTCAGTAAATTTCTCAATTGCTTAGAAATATAAACGTGTAAATTAGAAATATAAAGAAGCTTAGTTTATTGCTTCTAAAGAATGCTTCTGGCACTGTCTTCTGCACAGATCACCTTGAGTGTGTGTTTGCAATTGTATGTGTAAATTGTATTATTACATCAGTTGTATTTGTGCAAAATGCATTGCACAACACAAGGCAGAGAAAACATAGACAAGCATGAACTGCTTGCAAAGTATGGGGGTTCCTTAGTAGGATCTTCTGAAAGCCAAATAGACTCCATGATTCTTCCCCTGGATGCACCAGCTGAGCTATGACCAGAGTAGGTCAACTTGCACAATGAGAGGAGCTAAAGAATGAAATCCCATGGGAATCCAGTGTTTCTGTTCCCAAAAATCCCTTGTTGATAAGTGGAGATGGCTGCAGTCTCCAAAGCTCCACATAAAACATGGAAAGGACCTTATAAAGATGAGATGATCGTCTGTTTAGAAGCAGCTATTACCACCTTGTAGAGCAAAGTTTAGTACAATTTTAAGCAAATTCTTACACTTTTATGGGGAATTAAATATTATTTAATCCAGATCAGCTAATTCTGATTAACCAATACAGATATTAAACCATCTTTTTGTATCATACAAGCAAGAGAAACATGTGATGGAGGTGATAATGTATGCACCAAAAAAGTTGTAAGTTTATCCTATAACCAAAGAAGAAATTATCATATTTTGACCATATTGTACACATCTCATGACTTTTCCAGACAATCCAGAAGGACAACTATAGATGTGATGGCAAATATTTTGCAACATTAAACACTTCTAGTACTCTTTCACTTCACACTCTTAACTGGACACAAATCATAAAAGTAGGTATCAAATGTTTAATTATCAGAAGCATTCTTTTTCAGTTAGAGTCATGTGGAAAGGTGAAAGGAAGAGAGAATATTCATGGTATCGAGTACTGCCAACACTAATGGTGTCCTTGGAAAAAGCACTGTTTGTCAGTAATGAACATACTTTGTACAGTACTTAAAAATGTCTCTTCCAAGAGTATTTGCATGATTAAGTATTACTTCAAAATGTGTTAAGATGTTAACAACTACACTTCCAGTCAAAAGAAGGAAGGTGCCTTCATGAGCTGATGATCTGGGCTTGCAACGAAGCATCTTCCACCTCAGTTTTCTTGTTGGCTCTTCAATACATTTGCCATCTTTCATAATTCCTAGCATGAATTTATTGTTCGCTTTCTCTTGACCATAGAATCATAGAATCAGGTGAGTTAAAAGAGACCTTTAAAGGTCATCTAGTCCAACTCCCCAATGCTGTCTATTCATAAACCAGTTCACTCATACACTAGTAGTAATATGGTGGGAAGGAAGTTTCTGTGCACTATTGAGCCACACACTAGCTTTTGATGTATTGGCAATGTTAAGCTCCTTACTATCAGCATATTTAATGTAAGTAAGAGGGAAAAGGAAAGTTATCACAGTGCTAGAGCCCAGATGAAAATCTACTTTTGTCCCCTGGAAGACAAAACTCCCTTCCCACAGCAACAGGCAAGCAGCTGGAGAAGGGCAATATGTCTAATTCCTTTCCCACAAAGGAAACACAGACTGGGACATGTGAAACAATTAGTTTCCTTCCACGTTTCTTGACAGTTCTCACTAGGTCCCCCACTTTGACCAGTTCATCAGATTGTGAGCTCTGCCACAGACTTCCCAAGCATTTGGCTGACATGAAGGCTGAAGAGGAATCCGACTGCAGCCTGCAGTCATTTAGAAGGGAGTTATAAAGACAATGCAGAACAACTGTCTTCAGGAGTGGCGATAGGGGATATAAATTGGACACCAGCTTCTTTCTGGGAGCTTCAGAGGACTTCCAGAGTCCCCTCCAACCAACACTCTATGATTCTGTGATTTCAGCCCATATGTGATGTTGCTCTATGATGGAGGTTACTTCTAATGGTTGATGCTTCGGGAGCTGGAACAATTAGTCACTTCTGGCACATTTCTCTTCAGGATTTTTTGTGCCACACAGCTGTGCTCCTGTATTAGTAGGTACTTCTAGAAACACCAGAAAAAAAATAAATAACAGCCCCCAAGGACTACAGAAGAGTTGCAGAAGTTTAATTATAGGGTAGAATCTCTGTCTCAAGATTTCTAGCGCAAAGATAATCAATATTTCTTCATTATGCAACTGCATTTCTAATTGCTTAGCAAACTTTGTTTTTAAAAACACTTCATTCTGTGGAGATTATAATTTTAATCTAAAATTTTGCTGGCTACCTAGCTCTTCAGAAGAGTATAGTTAGTATTAAGACCGTATAAAATAGAATTATATACCTCTAAAGTAATCTGAGATAATCTAGTCCAACTGTCCACCTACCATGAATATTGCCCACTAAATCACATCTCCCAGTGACACACCCACATGTTTCTCGAACACTTTAAGGCACAGTGACTCCAACACCTTTATGGGCAGCCTGTGGCAGCAAAATTACACAGAGTTGGTCTTATATTTTATTTTTGGATTATAGTGTACATTTTTTGAAATGGCACTACACCATGCATATCAAGCCAAGCTTGCAGGAGAAATCAATTCAGATTTTCCATTTTGATGGCTTTCTAAACTTCTGAACTAACCTGAAGCCCTCAGCAAAATTTAACCCCCTCCTCATAAATCCCAAAGAGCACCAGCAGATTTTGACAGGTGTGCAAATGAGCTAGAAATAGCATCTACTTTAAAAGCTTTGCTTTGCCATTTAATCAATAGCACCAGCTGTTTATTACATCACATACTATAGTGCAATAGAGATTATCGCCTAAATTATTAGTAATGATATGATGGCATGGCACAGTAATACAGTAAGTGTATATATAGTAAAAATGTGTGGGTATTTTATAACCTGATATCTGTGCCTCCTGGCTCCCCTGCTCCCCCGTGCATAGTAGCCTGTTCATGTCACCTTGTGATGCTATTCACGGAAGTATAGAGCAATGCTAGGCAAGAGCAGTGGGGGTCCTGCGTGCTTGTTTGAGCAGCTGGAAAAGTATGGTTTTTTTCCACTCCAAGTCAGTAATCTCATATCCATCTGACAGCTACAGAACAACCACATTCTGGAAATTTAGAACTTTTTAATTGGTTTGTTACTTTTAGTATTAGTATTCTCATTTTCTACACTCTTTGAGAATGTGTTGAGGCCTGAGTGGATGTGCTGAATGCATGAGCAAAGACTTGCATACAGCTTTCATGGCCTGGCTGCAAGCAGGAATGGCAATCCTCAAGAGCCACCTCCTGAGCAAATGCATTCCAACATTTGCTAAACTTTTATACACCTGATGCTTGTCTCTCTGGCCCAGATTCTTTACCGCTAAGCTATCAGCAACAGCATGCCTCTGGTACATCTGGAGGAAGCACTTGTGACAGCTGATACCATAATTTATGAGGATCTGATTGCGATTGCAAGGCATTGGGGAAATGGCCTCAAGTTGCACCAGGGGAGGTTTAGGTAGAATATCAGGAAGAACTTCTTTACAGAAAGGGTTGTTAAGCTCTGGAATAGGCTCCCCAGGGAGGTAATTGAGTCAGCATCCCTGGATGTGTTTAAAAAGCATTTGAATGTGGTGCTCAGGGACATGATTTAGTGGTGGGCTGTTAGGGTAGTATGGTTAGGTTGTGGTTGGACTTGATGATCTTCAAGGTCTTTTCCAATCTGAGCAATTCTATGATTCAGTCCAACACATCAAAGGTTAGTGACAGAGGCCAGACAAAATCCAATACAGCCAGAAAAGTCAGTATCTCACAAGTTGACACACATTTCCTTCAATTCAAAGGAAAACACTTGGGCTTTACAGGAGCAAATTACCTTCTTTCATCCCTCCTTTGTTTTGTCTATACATTCTGTTACTATAATGGGCTACGTTTCCAAAAGCTTTGGAAACCTATTTTCTACATCTGCTTGACGTCACAAGCAAGAGGGATTTTAATGGTTAAATTAGACCTGGGGAACTTTTCCAAATGTAGAAAGACTACTTTCCATGTGGATATAACTGGCAGCCTCTCCACAGAAAAATATGGTAAATGTAATCCTTGTTTAAGCAAGATGGACAGCAAAAGTAATACATCTTGCAATTTCTGAAGTCATTTTTAACTTCTGTATTTCTGTGTTGCACTAAAAGGGAAAATGTACAGAGTGAAAAAAGATGGCTTGGTGAAACCAATGCATCACTCAAAAAAAGGGCAAAATCTCTGACAGAAATTCAGTCCTAGCTCCAAAATGGAAACACAGTGGAAACAAGAAGTACTGCAATTCTCATAGCTACTCCAGCAGAACCTTCCTTTTTTTTTACTTATGTTTTATTACAGTATATACAGGAGCAGACATCACATCTACTTTTCATTAGCAAGCCTAATATTGATCTGTGTTTACAGGTCTGTGCTAGATCCAGAACAGAAGCCATCCGTCTATCAGAATGATTCAGATCCCTGAGACCTTAACAAAGAAAGAGCTTAACTTGACAAACGGAGAAATAATAATATTTTCAAACATGATTTCCTTTAAAGGCCTCATTTAAAAAAAATGTTATGGACATTTCTGCCGTTAGTTACAGATGTTTATGTCAATAGCATTTTTATCAAAGGTCTGTTTTAAAAGAATATGTTTTTCATTAGATTGCTTTTCGTGTTCTCATTTCCATCATTCCCAGTCTTATATGCTTAATTATTTTTCTCTGCCCATAGCAATGATAAGTAAACAAGTTGGTGGTGGGATTCTTTCCTTATTTCTTTCCCTCCTTCCCTTCTTTCCTTCCTTCTTGCCTCTCATTCTTTTTTCAGAAAGCCAATGTTCTATGTGATGCCTGTAGCAGCAAGGCTTTTAACATAAACCTGGAGTGCAGTGATGATGATGATGGAGGAAGGAAAGCAACCACAGAGTGAAAGGGTTTTGTTCAGGTTTACAGGAGCATGGACATCCAAGCCATTGTGCAAAAGACCAACAGAATCCTAGAAAGGTGCAATTGCAGTTCTTGGTCACGTGAACTCAGGATTCACCTCATACTCTGATCCTAAAAGCCTCCACCATGAGACACGGATGAGGCACCAAAGCTCAAGAGTTGCGTAGCAAGCAATATCCTTAGCACGTAAAAAAAACAAACAAAAAAAGCAGCAGAATGAGGCAGGTGGCTCTGGAGATGCAGAAGCATGTGAATCTGTGAAGCTGGGAGTAGAAAGGCATCAGGAAATGCTGGCAACCATGGTGGCTGCTGGAGAGCTGTCAATGATGTAGGGCTAAGCAGAGGCAAAGCCATGCTGTGGGAATTCAATGCAGCCAAGGAATGGTGAATGGGTGGGTAACAGCCCACAAGAGGAGACTGGGACACGGGAGCCTTTGGCCCTGGTCTGGAGAAGCCCCATCCCTCTTGCTCCAGAGCTGAATGGACAGAGGTCAGGCTAGGACCCATTGCACTCATCCTCTTGTTGGAAGCAGTGTGCTGGGGCCGTTATAATTTCTGTAATGCTGGATGCTTTCCATATGGGAGGAAAATCTAGTATGGGCTAAAATCAGAGAAAAAACCCTCTTCTGAATCTCAAGTAATATATGCTTTTGTTGTTTGAATTCAAGAGCAGTCGGACAAAAACCTCTGATCTCATGCTGCTGTGGATCAGAAGTAAATATTTACATAGCATGTTAGGCAGCGCTGGTATGAGACCAGTATTACAGAGACTCAAGCTTGGCTGTCCCACTTGCCCATTTTGGAAGCTGTTGGCTTCCCCAGCGAGCAGAGGGATAGCAAGACATGCAGATTAATCATATAACCATAGAATCACAGATTGGGTTGGAGGGACCGTAAAGTGCACCTTGCCACAATCCCCTGCTGTGGGCAGGGCTACCACCCACCAGACCAGGCTGCAAAGGACCCATTCATCCTGGCCTTGAGCAACTCCAGGATGGAGCCCAGCCTCTGCAACTGCCTTTTCCTGCAGCCCTTGAGCATTAAGATGGGATGATTCTCTTCTTTCTGTGCTTTATTTTACACTTTCTGGCCTGCTACTGCTAGCGGTATTACCTTATCCCCATGCTGAACCTGAGAAGCAAATAATTCATTCTATGTACAAAGACATCCAGGTGGTGAAAGAGTCAGCCAACATGGCTCCTCTTGACTCACAAATGCTCCCAGGTTCACTGTGGATGGGCTTTGCTCCTATACCACAGCCAGCCTTTCTTCCCTAAAACCCCCACCAACTGCTCTGTTACACGTTGCAGCTGGTACAAGTGCTGCATGGGCTGCTGTCCCTCTTCATTAACTCCAGGAACTGGGTGTGTGAGGTAAATCCCTTTCTGAGGAACAGTAGAATGGCCAATGTGAAGACCACATATATACTGTCTTTGTTTGTAGCAAATGATGACAAGATAAATGGGACCAGCAAGGATTTTTGCATTGTTTCTCCTAATTCTTTTTCTCTGTGCAATGAAATAAATGACTGTAGGCTACATATGTGGACTCCCAGACTTCTTTGACAGTAGATTTTTCAGGCTTGAAATCTCAAAGGAAGGCTCCAATTAAAATTAATTTACAGGAGGGGCTAACTGGGATAGAATCACAGAATGGTTTGCATTGGAAGGGAGTTCAAAGCCCACCTATCCCAACCCCTGCCAGGGTCAGAGCTGCACCCCACCAGCTCAGGCTGCCCAGGGCCCCATTCAACCCAGCTTTGAGTGCTTCCAGGGATGGAGCATCACAGCTTCTCCACAGTAACCTACTCTTCTGAACTCGTTCATCTCCTTGATGTTGGCAGCTGAGTCCTGAGAGTGCTCCTTTGAATCACCTCATTTACTGCATGTTAGTCTGACCATCACCATGTATTTCTCCTTCTGAAGAAGAAAGAATCAAGAGACTTCCTCTCCAGCTGATGTGTACACTCAGATGCCTCTACCTCTGCATATATCTGTGATTGGGTTGCAGGAATTTATACAGAGGAACTCACACAAAATGACTTATTTTAACACTTCTCCTGCAGGGGAGCAGAACCCTTACCTTTGAGCTGCACTTGTACAGGGGATGGCTGATGGAGTCCACATAATGATGCCTCATGCAGCGGCTGGGATCGGTGTCGATCATAAAGGAATTGTCTGGTTTGCTGTCCGTGTCTCCCATCATTGCCAGGAGCGAGAGCATGGAAATTGAAGCTGCAAGTACATGACTTCCCATTGTTGAGGAACTTTGCTGTGATAACAGCAGAGGGAGGTAGAGGATTAAAAAAACGCCGAATACTGTGAGCCAGTTCCTCTCCAGGAAAGTAAAAAGTCTGGTTTAAGTCTCTTAGTTGTCATTCTTCCTCTGGAGTTAGAGTTTGCTGAGATTGTAATCCATCAGAGAATCTCCCGTATAGCTGGAATAAAAACACCATAAATCACGATCCTGACCAAAAACAGCTCTGAAGAAAAACAGACATAAATAATAATAAGGCTCATAGGATTTTTGCTTGCCAAAATACACTCTCAGAGGGAGCATCACTCCCACAGTAGGTATGGCACGCGACATTAGGAAGGAGATGTGTTACTTTAAGCATTTCTCCATCATTTTTTTTTACCACAGAGACTCTTTTAATTTTTCATATTGCAAGTGTTGCAGCACCCATCTTGTTCACTCAGCAGTGTCCCTAATGGGTTCCCCTCAAAACTGGTGATGGATAACACATCAGAACTTGCTGCAAATGGGAAGGACAGCATATTCACTTGAAGTGTCAAAAAGCACGCTTAGAGACAGGATCAGGCTGCCTTCTGCCTTACCAAAGGGAATTTCCCAGGCAGCAAATGGAGAGGAGGAAGACAGGCGGCGCTCCCGCAGGGACAAGGGACACAACTGGATCCTGTCTGGGCACAAGCAGTGCAGTCCCTGTTAATTAAAGAATAGGATCTGAAAAACACATAGTATTCCATAATATCCAAGTGCATCCCAGCTGTGAAGTGGGGAAAAGATAGATCTACAGGTGGAGTCACACAGATTGCCATTCAGTCATCTGGGTTTGTAGCGTGTTGGAGACCAGGAGGGATCCCTCAAAACCAGGCTCAAAACAACCCTGAAAAGCCCTTCAGGAGAACATCTCACTGGGCTGCCCACAGCTGTAATCTTAAATGGGTGATTTAACTTTGCTTTTACTACACAGAGCTACAGCGTGGAAGAGCTGTGAATTATCCTGCTGAAGCAAAGAGCAGTTTTCAGTGCAGCTTAAAGTTCGAGGACTTTAAGAAAACTATGACAAAAAAGTTCACTGCTCATGCAGAAATGCTCCCCGAAGCTTCTTGCCTATTTAAAGAAATGCCACATTCCCTTTATTGCACAAGCCTCATTCAAAACAGCTTTGTGCTTTGCTGACAATACTCTAAGATGACAGATACTCATCTCTTGAACAGCCTGAAACGGCGAGGCCTCCCCACCAGAGTGCTCAGTGATTTGTATACTGCTTTATAGCTTGCTCCAACCCTTTTGCAAGAGGAGCACATAAGAAGCAGTAAACACTTCCAGAATTTGTCCAAGCTGAGAGTCAGGACTTGTCAGGCAAGGTCTCACGCTGGGAAGAAATATACTTAATTAGGGATGATCTGTGTGTTAGACATTTATGAAAGCCTTTTTTGGGTTCAAACTATTGTTCGTATGCCTAAATAGAAAAGGATAATTTATGTGTCTATAATTTATTTAACTATATATTTTTTTCCTCAGCGTCTGATGTATTGCCTTCTGTATTTAGGCATAGAAGTCATAGAAGCCTTTTCTGTAAGCAAACATAGTGGATGTGGCACTGAAAAAAATGCTATGTCTTTTCAGTACGAGGAGCTTAAGCAACGCTAAACACAGAATCTCAGATACGTTTGTGCACACTCTCCGTCACCTCAACAAATATTCCTACAAACATTTCAGCAAGACAAGAGGGAAATCTCTCTCTCATGGGAGCTGGGACAGAGCCCTCCACAGAAGCAAGACTGTGGTTCACAGAGATGCTGTCCAAGCATTAGCTAACAGGAGGAGTGATGCACTTTTTTTGTGTTTAACCTTTTACCTACTTTCCCATTCTTCTTTCTAAAGAGGCTGACCAAAACACTCTGCTTGGCAAGGTCTCTCTCCAGCATAGCTTACCAGTATTACACACCCAGCAACTCCTTCTCTGTCCAAGAAAGTTTACTTGATATTGGATGGTCTCATCTCATTTACTGCTATATCCAGGGATCCCCATTTCCCACTCTCTCTGTCCCAATCTTTTTTTTCTCTATCTTTCTATGGTTTTGATCAGTATGATTTAATACAGTGAGAGAAATCTGGTCCTGGCTCAGTTTTCAAAGGCTTATCTCTCTAGTTTGCTTCAGGAAATAATTGAATGACACAGTCTGCCTCAAAAAAACACTGTGAGAAAGTCGAGAGGAAGGAGGGGAAAATGTGAGAAAAGGAAAGTGTCTGTACCTTCTTTAGGATAAGCACAGCACAAAATCTGCACAAAAAGTCTTAGCAGACTCACAGCCTTTTAAAATTTCCCTGACACTTTCCTTGCTAAGAGATGAAGTGTAACTTGGTAATAAAACTCCAATAGAACACAAGCAGAGTGTTATATTTGTTGGTAAAAAGAGACCATCTTTCTGTCTTTTGTGACCCATCTTTTGTGAAAAAGCTGTGATTTGTTGCTGATGGACATACTGGCAAAATGAGCGTGCTGGAAATGATGATGGGACTGCAGAGAACACTGGGATATTTGCACCTCCAGTATCTACTGTCATGCTTATGTCAGTTATGCACATATATTTCTCAAGTACATATACCATATACTATTGAGCTATGTAGAAAAATATATATCTCTCACAGGAATATTTAGACATACAGAAGTTAGTGTATATTTGGGCCAGAAGTAAAACATTTTTTAGAACATTGGTTCTAAAAGGTGTAAATATTTTCACTCAGATACATCACCATGGCATGACATTCCCACTTCCAACTAATACTGTGCAATGGGATATCATTTCAAATTAGCACCCAGATTTTATTTTATTTAAAACAAAACAAAACATTCTTTTTTGAAACACTGTCTGAAATTACAAAATACTACACATTACGTGGCATCAGTAATTACATCTGTCTGTCTATCTGTCTCAAAGCAGAAGTACACCTCTAATCATTAATTGTTGTAGATGCACTTAAAGATAATATTTTGCGTTCTACATCATTTAGAACATACCACTTTTTTGGTCAAAATCAACAATTTCAGATCAATTTTTTTTTGTTTAATTTTATTTGAGCTGCCTTTCTCCTACTTTCTTCTTACCTGAAAAACTGTGGTGAGCAGTCAATCTGCCAAGCTAAGAAAGAGGAAGGTGAAATGCTTCTGTTTTACAGCATCCCATAAAGAAGAAGATACAGTGGTGACTACATATTCCTAGGATGAAAATTAGCTACGAAAAATATTTGGCCAAAGAATGAATGAAAATCACTGCTTTCCATTCTTTCAGAATTCACTGATATGAGCATTATGTGTTGTTAATAATAGGCTTACAAGTGCACTTTCCCTAAAACTGCTTTTTCAGAACTCACATGGACATACCATGCTAAATTACAGCTGTCGTACAAAACTGCTACAACTGTTATTTAAAAAATGAAGGGAAAAATGGAAGCCATCCCAAGGCCAGATGATGCAAAAATTCAATCTAAGGCTGCACCACACATGAATACTGGGGCAGAGTTAAAGTTATTTTACCAACTTTGTGTTATCATTACCTGTTCTTTGAATGCTTCAAATAAAGATTTTTTTAAATCACAGTCTCAATATAATTTAAATAGCAGAGGAGGTTAAGATTTTTGGTTTGCTCTAGGATCAAAACAAAAATTCCATCATCTGGAATTATTTAGTCAGTTGCTTTGGGAGAACATAAACAGAAATTCTCTTTTACTATGTATCTTGGAAAAAATCAAGAAATGAGGAATTCTCCAAAGATCTATTGGATCTGCTCAGCTTTTACCCTGAAATACAGGAAGGGAGCAATGAAAAACCTTATTTCTGGTGTACTTCCATTTAGCTGTTCCCTGCTTATGAGCCTGTGAATTAGGCATGCACGTATATTCAGCTTGGCCTTCATTTGGAGAGTATTTTTTGTTCTTATGATGATGATGATGATGCAGTTCAATTCACTCAATGTCTTTCATGTTCCAGAGGCTGCCAAAATCCAGTTGGAGCAGCAGTGTGTATATATAACTAAGCCCAGCCTTGCGTGTTGTGCATATTTAGTAAACACGATTGCTTGGAACCTGCCAATGTGGTTCCCTCATTCTCAATTAGTTATGTAAACAGAGAAATTATAAGACCACTCAGTTTCTCCAAAATCCAGCCCTAAAAAACTGTTACTAAATATGTGTTTGTGTTTAGATTACTGCTGCTGTTCTGAGAAAAATGCCACAGAGATCTTTATGAGGGCAAAGTGGATTTTCTGATAACTGTGTTATACCTGGAAAAAATTAGATCAGAAGAGTTGATATTTGGGACATTTGCACTCTGCTAAGATCTGAACTGGAATTGTGCTATGTGGTGGTCAGCAGGGCAAGGGAAGTGATTGTATGTCTCTGTCCTCATAAGATCCCACTTGGAGTACTGAGCCTGGGCCTGAGGTCCCGAGCACAAGAAGGAGTGGAGCTGGTGGAGATACTTACAGTGGGCCTAGAGGAAAACTGGGGAGGGAGTATCTGTCAGGGTATGTAGTGCTAGGAAAAGACATGATGGTGTTAATTGAAAAGAAGGTGCATCCAGATTAGACATCAGGCAGAAATCCTTTACCCAGATAGTGATGAAGTCCTGGCACAGGCTGTCCAGAGAAGCTCTGAGTGCCTCATCCCTGGAGGCGTTCTGGAGGCAGCTTGGTCTAGTGGAATTTGTCCCTCGCCATGGCAGAAGAGTTGGAACTCTATTGAGTTGGAACCATTGAGTTGGAACTCAATGGTTGGAACCATTCTATGATTCTACTGTTAGGATTTGTTCTGCAGAGTTAAGCTCTCCACTGCCATGAGAAGGGCCATGAAAAAAGGTGGAGATGGGAGGTGGGGATGAGCAAGCAGTGTGCGGCAGCCACATTACATGATCTGCTTCCAGGCCTCCTCCAGGCTCCACAGCATTTTGATGGCTTCCAGGCAATATCACCTTCCACATGTTGCCCAGGAAAACTGCTTGGGTAACATCATTGTGGGACAAAATCATAGAGGTCACCATTTGAGCAATTTAATAGACCAGTTTATCTCATAGTAGAGACAACCTAACATGCTCTGCCTGATCCTGCTTGCTGTCAGCTCAGAAATTTTATAAGATCCTGTGTATGCTTTGGTTTTGTTAACAAATATGCTTTTCCTCTCATTATGTTATTTTACTGCAGCCATTTTCTGCTGATGAGGTAGTTGGCCTGCCATATGTGCATTCAAAATACTTTTGTATTTTGTGACCACTGCATTGTTAGATAAATATCTCCACACAGCACTTAGACAGATTTTCTCCCTCCATTTTGCCACAGAGGTGGCAAAGGGGTTATGCAGTGGCCATTGGGACATAGGACTGGGATCCCAAAGGGACACTGAGGGCTGAACCTTGAACAAGCCACAGAGATGTGTGTGCCCACAACATAAAAGCAGTGCAGCTCTGTGCAATTCAAGAGACTCCTGGAGATTCCTGACTATCAGCATGAGAAAGGTAGGAAGCAACAGAAAGGAAAATAGAATAAATCACAGAATCATACAGCGACTTAGGATGGAGGAGAACTCAAAGTCCATTCAGTTGCAACTCCCCTGCTATGGGCAGGGATGCCACCCTCGAGAGCTGGCTGCCTGGGGCCCCATTCAACCTGGCCTTGAACACCTTCAGGGATGGGTCATATATTTCTGAAGAAAAATACCTGTGCTGGTAAGCAGACTGAAAAAGAAAATGAAATAGGAAAACCATGCTAATCCATAAGAAACAATGGCCAGTAATTACAGCACATGCAAAGAAAGAACTCATGGCTGCTGATGACCCTGGGGCAGGGAGATCTGGTGGCTGCTCTGCAGGGCCCCACAAGTGGGGGCACAGTGGGGGGACCAGGAGAATGAGATGGAACAATTCTGGCTGAACAGCACTCAAGTAAGCCAAGTTTCACTCCCCTTTTGAAGTCTCCAAGTGTGTTTTCAGTCCTCCAGGTAGCTGAGAGGGGGGAGAGCTACCAGTGCTGCTGGGCAGTTGAAATAACAACATCTAGTGGGTGCTGCGGACTGGCGCCCAGCCAGCAGACAGGCAGGGACAAAAATGGAGAAAGGTTTTTAATACACTTGCAAAGAATAGCTACTAGTAGACAAAAGAGTGCTTGTATTTTTATTCTTTCTTTTTGCTGTCTCTAGGAAACTTTAAATAGATCGATTAGAGGCATGCATAGGATCTGTCTCTAATGAGTCCCAGAGCAGGCAGAACTGTTTAATGGCACGGTGATGCCAGCTTTGGACTCCTTATTCAATCTCGTGTCTTACAGAGCAGTTCTGATCATCAGTTGGAGATGGAAACAGGGAGGAATCCAGCTTTGCACTTGCTCATCGAAACAGTGCTGAATGGCATTGCCCTTCAGGTTCAGAGCCAAGCTATATTCAAAAGGTTCCCATCTCTCCCAGAAGGAAACCAGCAGGTTGGAGGCTGCTGGGCACATGCAAATATTCCCAGCTGAGCATTAGCTATAGGATCTGCTTCAGTAATTACCTCTGTGTTAGTCTTATGACCCAACATAAGTTAAAATGACTCTTGGCCAAATTACAAGTTGCTGAGAGGTCTAGGGCATTCGGGCATGTGTTCTCTTACCTGTTGGAGTGTGCTACAAAACAGTGGATGTTTCTGGTTCTCTGGCTTTCATTATACTGCTTGTCTGATGATTAGAGATTACTTTAATGCATTTACTGAAGAGCCATAGTTATCACTAGATGCATGAATGAGGTTCTCATTCTTTAACATTAAGCAAAGACATCGCTGCCACCAGGATGAGCAGTGTGCTATGCAGCTGGAGATAGCCCATAACTGAAAGAAATATTCCCAGTAGCAAAATCCTCTCTTCTTTTATAGACAGGCAAAATTCAGACTAACATCCATGCACCTCGATTAATTACAGAACCTAAGCATTTGGCTCATGGCAGCAATTTTATGTCATCTAGCAGCATTCCCCTAGGTCCCACTCTCTTTGAGCTGTGCTGCTATGACAGTAATGCGATTGTCACTGCCATGGTATGCTTAACCTTTGCCAAACCAGAGTGGAGGCATTAACTCAGATCTTCAACTCACATGTCTTAAAGGGCAATGTAACCTGTGCTGCCTCCTCTGCTGAACTGAGGTCTACAGCCCTGTAACAATCAGCATGAAAATGTGACAAGCATGAGCCATAACAGTGATTGATGCAGGTAGAAGAATAACAAAGAGAAGCTGAAGAGCAGCAATGCAGTGGAATTCCTGGGTGCACTGTCTCCATGGCATCAGCAGCCAAATGCTGGGATGCCAGAAGAAAGGCTGGAATTGCCCATGGTAGGAGGGATCTCTGTGAAATTCACACAGTGAAATTCCAACAAAGGGGACAAGAACTGTTGGTGTCTGAAAGTGGTAGTGCCACTGCTACCCGGGTAATCGTCTGAATTAGATTATGTGAAAAAAGAAGGAATATATAGACCACCAGCTGCTCAAAGGCTTACTACAACCTTGCTTTTATTGTTCAGCTAAGTTAGAGGTGGGGCATCAGAAGGATTCCATGCATACCACTGTTGAGAAATTTTAATATGTTCCACACTGACACATATAAAAAGGAAATAACAGCTGATCATATCCAGCAGAGACAGCAGCATCTCCTTGTATGCCTGCAAAGAACTGTGGGCAAAGTGGGGTGCTCTTGGTCAGAAGCAGACAGCTGAGCTAACCCAGCAGCAATCCAGCATTTCTCTTGCCAAGAGGCTTGCATGAGGGCTGTTCAGCAAGAAACAAGGAAATAGCAGAAAAAAAGGTGAAGTGGGCACAGCTACTCACCCCTATCCCAAGATACCAGGGTGTGGGGAAGGGCAAGGAGTGGAGTTGCTGCATGCTGAACACTGATGAAAAGAAATACGTGGTTACACAACCCGCAGTGATCCAATGGAACAAGATATCACAAGGGCAAAAGTTGAGCAGGGCTCAGTAAAAGGACTCGATATGTATGAGAGGGTTGCAGTCTGAAGGGTTTTATTTTTAAAGAGTTTTGGGAAGGGCTGTAAGCTCTCAGGACTCTGAGAGCTCGGTTGATGGGGCTAGGGAAAAATCCTTCATGGCAGCAAGTTCCCCTGTTGCTGTCTGCCCCAGGGTCTCTGTGCTCTGCTTTGATGTGGCCGCTTCCAGCCACGCTCAAGAGGTGATTACTCAAATAACAGGGCGCTGCAATGCAGGCTCATGTAGCGAAACTTTTCAACCTCAGAGACGCAAGTGCCTCCTGGTACTCAGCAGCACATTAGAGGCAGAGGAACTTGTTCTATTTGTAACAGTAGTTGGTAATTGTAATTACAATAGTATTGTTTGGGAGAAACGGGATCTTTTTAAAATTCTACTTTCCGTTAAACAAATGATCTTCTAGATTTGTTGCAAAAATGTATGTCTCAGTGACTTCACGCAAGCTTTGCAGCATAGGTCTTCAGCTCCCTCCAAAGTTCAAGAGCAATCTTGGTCATTTCCTAGTGCATCTGGCAGCAGACACATAGGGAAGGGGATAGCAACGGCCCCAGGGAAATGGGGAATGAATTCAACTCCACAAGGGCTCCTTGTCAAAAAAGTCAGCACCAGCCTGGAAGAAGGTGGTTCACCTCCCGACCACCCTGGCAAAAGATACTACAGCACTGGCAACTCAAACAAGCAAGAGCATATATGGGCTGCCTAAGCCTCTGTGGCACGTTAGGGATTGTTCTGTTGGGGTCAATGGCTGTTGCTGAGAACAGCGCAGTGTGATGGCTACCTGGGGTATTGCTACAGCTAACTATACAAGGCTGTCTGTAACAAGACTGTAATTAGAATAAGAAGAGGTAGCCTCTAATTATATCCCTTAACTAAATTAAATTTCTTCCTATTTTGTAAGTTGGAAACATCTCCTGTTCCTTCCCCATTTGCTTGTAACTGGAAAATCTTACAGTATATTTTTATAAAACCAGTATTACAAATAAGATTGCATTGCTCCAGCATGAGTAACATCAAGGTACAAGTCACATTGGTAACCTCTGATTCAAGCTGGTAAGTAATTACTCACTAAATAGTTCTATTTAAGTCAAGGGAATTATTCATGTGCATAACTGCTCACAGATATGAATAAGGTCTCACAGTCCGGGCAAAACTGAGCACCATTAGCAATTCAACAAGAAAAAAAAAAAAAAAAAAAAAAAAAAAAAAGGGATCCTAAAACATAGATTTTCTTTGGAGGAAGGGCAAATAACCACAGCACTGTGATTATTGTATCCGCATTCATTGACCTGCACCAGCCATATGGGTTGTTCTAGTAGGAAATAATTTTACAGTGAGGAACTGATTTGGAATGAGTTTGTACCCACTGGTGGTTTTAAATAAGCACTTCATAAAATCACAGAATAACCCAAGTTGGAAAGTACCCATAAGGATCTTAAGTGTGGAGTCCTCGCTTCCCAGTGACTATGATGGTGACTAGGACAGAGTCACAAAACCTTAGAAACTGCAATGTTTAGCAATGAAAAATTGTTCTTTCATTTCTAAAGAGCGAGTCACTTGTTGTGCCATCAGTCAGAGGTAGAAACAAATAGGATGTATTATGGGGACACTGTGGGAGAAATTTAAATCAGCTTTAAGGTAGGATAAGAAATCTGCTTGACAATCACAGAGGAGTCAGTGCACACACACTGCCTTGCAAAATCATATCTGTCACAAGAAAATTATCACCTCAAACACACATTCAGTTTGAGTCATTCTACTGACATTGGAACATCTAGCTAATGCAGCACAAACAGCTGAGACTGCTCCTCACATCGCTTGTCTTCATTACTTGGGGACGTTTTTTGTTTTTATGTTTTTTGTTTTTTTTGTTTTTTTTGCTACTGAACCCATCAATTTGAACTTTTATAGGTTGAATTCTCTTACCTGAGTCTCAGCAGAGAGATGGGGCTTTCCTCCTCAGCGGGGTTCTCACTATCCACTCCAGAGGACTGTACTTACACTCCTCTACTGCTTTATCTCTTGGCTCACAACAGCAAAACTCTTCCTTTCTCCCTGAGAGGCAGAGAACAGCCATGCTCGTCCCCTGACACCGCTGCACAGCGACTCGATGCCCCGGCATGCCGGGATTTCAGGATGCCGAGAGCCTCCCCCTCCCGCAGCGGGCGGCCGGGGGTCCCGCGCAGCATCCTCCCACCCCAGCGACTGCCCGCCCGGCCACACGCACGGCGCGTCGTGCCGAGGGTCGGCTACCTACTAAATATACCCTGCGGGGCTACGGCAAAGGCAAAAGCCACGGCTTCCCTCACAGGCTTCAGCCAATCAAGGATGGGTATGAAACCTAGCCTAATCCGTAGCCAGTGCTGTCCAGTCTGTAGTAAAGCTTCCCAGAAGTTTGGATAAATAATAACGTGCAAATTAAGGGTGCTCCCACAGAGCATGACACGCAAAGCTAGAAATAAATATTGCCTGTTGTTTTTAATTATTCTGAGTGCTCCAGCAGATGATTGGCAAGAGAAGGTTGTGCACAAGTAGGAATAAAAGTAAACAGCTCGGTTTTAAAGTAGCAGGCTTTCCCGCATCCATAGCTCCTTACTACAGTGGGACAAAGCCAGTGATGGCAATAACAATTGGGGCAGCACCCAGCTCGTCCATTCACTTCAAGCCATACAGTGACAGCCAGTGCAGAGGTGCAAACAGGAACCTGGCACACTCACAAAAGTAAAAGTTTAATCAAGTTGCTCAGACTGTGCTACCTCTCTGCTTGCTTACAGGCATCTTTCAGGCAGAAGACAGATCTAAAGACAGGATTAGGAGACAGGTAGTAGAGCTTTGCCCAGTCCACAGTCTCACATTTTAATTAAAAGCCAGCACACAGAGAACACGTGTTTGTCAGATTAAGTGCTAAATTTAAGCCCATGAAACACTCAAACCTGGAGGAAACTTATTTGTGTGCTTACCTTCAGCGAATGCTCTGCTCCTTCCTTCCCTCCAGCTCTTCAGAGAGCTAAAAAGAGGTCCTGTTGCTTCCAAATGCTTTTGTTCTGCTGTCCCTCTGTCACATGGTTTGCCTTTTATATTTGCAACACACAAAAGTTAGGGCTGTTTAAGAGAGAGGGAGAGAGAGGGAGAGAGAATGTCAAATGGAAAAGTGCCATTGCAGTCATATATCAATCAGGGCAGCGGCAGCAGCAGCTCGCTGGCAAATGGGAATTCCACAGAAATGCAAAGCTCTTGTTATCTGAGAAATCACAAAACGCCACCAGCCAAGCTCCCCTCTGCAGGGACTTCTTATTACTGGCAAGCCAGGGAATAGAAGGAAACGTAGGCTTTTGTTGTTGTTGTTACTGTTTCAGATCTGGAGATATGTATGCAAGGGCACATGTAAGACAATGGAATACAAGTCCTGAATAAAATTCCATTCTAAATAAATGTGCTGTGTACAAGACAAAGCAAATCACAGTGCAGTAAGGTAATTAGAGCTAAGAAAATAATCTGAAAATAATAATTAAATTTTTTTATATGTATTTGCACTTGTAAAATATCCACAGGGAAACTGCTTTTTCACTGAGTTACTCATTAATCTCATTTTTTTTCCCTGAGAATTATTTTTTAGATTTTATGTGAGCTGTGATTGTTCTCAGATATTCCAAATTCAAGCTGTGCTGCTTTACTGCAATTGGTCACCTAAATCATCTGACATTCTTGGGCTTCCCAGTTGAGTAAGCAAACATATTTGTGTGCAAATCTGCAATTCAGGTGCTTCAAACAATCAGCCCCAAATTCTGAAATTTCTCTCAAATAGACCCTCATATGCTCTCAAAGGCATATTTAAGATGTCTAGCTAACATTCTTTCTTTTCTATCTTCTGTGATTGTCAGTGTTTGAAAATGCTTTCCTTCAAACCTTTTACATAAATATTGTCTTTTATGCAAAAATGAATGCCCTGGAAGGCTGAAGGCAGACTCCATCCAGTGGAGAAACCTACTTACAACTAGAGCATCCCAAACACGTTTGTCTGTGCATGGCTCTGGATGCACTAAACCTCTTTTTTGACTCCCACAGTGGAGCATGTTTTCCTTCCCTTTGGAGTGCCCCCTAGTCATCCCGAGGCAGTACGGAGCACGAGGAAGAGCAGACCTTAGCCGGTTAATTAAAAAATAGGCGACATAGCTGGCCATTCACAAGCTGGATCTGTTCAGAGGCACTGGCCAGCAGATGGACGGGGTCCTGTGTCGATTGTGTTTGAACTCTAAAGGAAAGTTGGTATTTGATGGATGATGTTATTAACTAAATGTCTTATGTAGTATTAGATCAAAGAACAGATGGAAATTATGCCTTAAAAATAGAATAATCTAAAAGGGGAATGGCTTGTAGATGAGTAAGCATCATGGAAACAATAAAGAAGACATTCTTTGGCTTGCCTTGCTGCAGAGCCAGGTTTGGCTAACAGGATAAAAAATTGATCCACTTAGGACTCACATCCTTAGGACATGAGTTTTCCTGAATGTTTTCCCCTCATATTCAGCACTTATGTTGTTTTGCCTCTTTAGTCAACCCTGGGCTTCTCTCACTTACCATGGGCTCTCTGCCTCCTTTGTTGTGGATACCCAGTGTTGATGATGGCTGAGTTCAGCATCATCTTCACTCACTTAGAGTGGCAGGCTGAAATGCCACCCACAATCTGGCACTGCGCTTACCTTAAAAAAGACTATCCAGAACAATGCTTTTTAATTTAGCCTACACCTGCTTGTTAAACTAAAGGCATTGTCCCTTTGGTCATTCAGCTGCCATGTCCACTTGTCTCTGTTTATCTATGGGAAGGAAAGTGGCTCACATATCTGGTTGCTCACATAAAGGACCTGGCATGTCCAAGGCAGAAGACACACCAAGCAGCTTCTGGATGAAATCTGCCAGGAGATGGTAGATAATTCACATTCCTTACTGGAAATTACACTTCTTGAGTTCTAAAAGGCACAGCACAGGTTTGTTTAGTTTGTGTCATCTATAGGAGAGAATATTCTTATTAGTTACTATTTGGGTGCAAAGCACACGTTAAATACTCAGTAATTAGCGATTACATGTCAAACAGTGGTACTTCTGAGAAGTAATGCTTATCTGGCTTCTTCCACTACAACAATTTCCAAATACATGAAAATCTGCAGATATTGGACATAATTTGACAGTGACAACAAAAATTGCATTCACTTTTTCATCTTCAGCTTCAAGACCACATTTGGCAGTAAGTGAAAGTTAATCAGCAGTTAATTAACCTCATAGGCTGGTGACTTACAAACTGACACTGCCATTTGTGGTCTGAATGAAATGAAGTATGACTGAAAGCACAAAAGTAAAAGTATAAAAAATACCCTCCCCTTCACCTTCCAAAAGAACTATAGAATCATAGAGTCATCAAATCTTAGAGTCATCAAATCATAGAATGGCTTATGTGTGAAGGGACATTAAAGATTATCTAGTCCCAACTCTCTGCTGTGAGCAGGGCTGCCATCTACCAGATCAGGCTGCCCAGGGTCTCTCCCAGTTCCTTCAGGATCCTAGAATGCATGGCCCCATAAACTTCTGCATATTCTGTCTAATAAGGTCTCAAACTTATTCTGCTCTTACAGTGGGAAGAGATTTCACTCTCTCAAATCCTGCCTAGAGGTTCAGGGGTATGAGCTGTATGGGAAAACTGACTGCCGCTGAAGAAAGAACGACCTGAGTACCTCAGCCTTCTCCATGTTGGTTGAAGCTAGTTCTTCTTTCTCACTACCAGATGGAGTACACTCTCCTGTGCCTTTCCCTTCTTCCTGATGTATATAAATAAACCCTTCTTATAATTTTCCACATCCCTCGCCAAGTTTGATTCCATATCACCTTGGCTTTCTTCATTCCATCTCTGCATGTCCGGACAGTCACCTTATATTCTTCCCAGGCAACCCATCCCTGCTTCCTCTGCCTACTATTTTTCCTTCTTATCTCTCAGTTTGATCAGCAGGTCCTTGCTCAGCCATGTCCATTTCCTGTCTATGGCCCACAATTTTTTCATAATCATTCATAAATATTCATCTTCTCTCAACCACTGTAATTTTAATCCTTCCCATAAAAACAGTTATTTAAAATAGAATAAGCGCAAAGCACAGATCAGAGATATGTTTTCAGAGATGATTAGACATATGAAATGACCAGATATTTGATAAAATATCCTGCTCCCAACTCAATTTTAATTAGAGATCCCTTCAAGGGGAGCTTATCTCACCTAGCAGCTATCATCTGAAAACTGAGTGTAGGCTCTTCCAATGGCAGATGGAGTTTCCATCCCAAATTACTTTCATTTCGAGACAGTTTAAGGTAGTCATCAGCAACAGCCTTTCTCCCTGTGAGCAACAATGATTTGCTGACAGTCAGACTAAATTCTTATTCTTTAGATAGGTAGAATTAAATCAGATAAAGGACTTAGGCTATATTTCTGAAGAGAAAGGGATTCACCTCTGTGTAAAGTTCTACCGGCATCCCTCACTGACTCCTCATGAAATGCATTGCAAACCTGAACTCTTAGTGTACTTGCTTCCATATTACACCCAGGTACACACCTACAAAACTTATGTCCATCTGCAGAAAAGGATCAAGCTACCATTACCTGCAATTCAGTAGAACTGAATTTTTTGCTCCACTGACATCATCAAGCATCATATTGACTTCTTGAAGGAGTAGAATTTCACCTCTACAGAGTACACTTGTTGTCAATGAAAAGTACTCAGAATTCTGCAGCAAAAGAAACCTTATGTTTCAATCTGAGAGATTTTCCAGTGCAGCCAGTTCATAACATTCCATGTGTGACTGTGATTGCATTCTCAGAGAGTGGATAACAGATGTCCATATCATCAAATGTACTGTCAGAAAAGGACCTTTAGAGAAACTAATTTCTACCATTTTAATAATCCAAACAGGTATTAGATAATTAATAATTCTGGTACATAATATTATATACCCATGTATAACAATCCAGGATCAAGCAGCACAAACGTTTGTTTAGGTAATATTTGTTTTTCATGTATTAAGTTATCCTGTCATGTATTCCCTCAGATTCATTTTGCAAGGTTATTTAAACACCTAAGTGCCTATTTTATTCTACAGCTTAAATTCTCCTGTTGTCTTGTGTATACGTGAATGTGTGTTAAGAGTATCTGGAAGTGTTTATTCCGTGACTTATACATACTAAGTTATAATAGCAAGGCTTCCTCTATTTAGGGAGCTATAAAGAATAATGTGAAAATTAGGCCTGAACTATTTGCTTATTCATTTTATCGCAGAAGTCAGAAAGGCATATTGCCTGTGAAATATACTCGGATTTTTTTAAACGAGCATGAAAATGATTCTCCACTACAACCTGAAATTGGTGTCCCCTAAAGCTGGTGTCCGCTGGTGCCTTCAGCAAGCAGTAGGTGCAGGACATGGACATGGAGGACTCTCTTGCAACATGCTGCCTACAAATCCACGATAAACAGGTAATATTTGAGATCTGAAGAAGTCTGTATTACTACACATTTTTATTCCTACGTCCCTCATGCTTGCCCATTCAAGTTTTGCCATTGCATTACCTTCAACTCCCTGGCCCTCAAATCTCTTAAGGACAAGTTATGTCTGACTTTGCCCCAGCTGTATTCTTTGTTTCCTTCCACAAAAATCTCAACTTCTTTTTAAAGCTGCTACCTGATTGCTGAGGAAGGGACAGCGTGCTCTAACTGGCTAGCAAGTGCCCACTCACCAGCCAGAGTGCTACTCACCTACTCAAACTTCTGAACCATGTGTGCTTCAATTTTCTTCTGCAAGACATTAATAGGATGCAACAGTACTACTGTCTAGGGGAAAGAACCTGTGCCTATTTACACATCCAAGGATTTGTCAAGAAGCATTGTTTTCTCCAAAATCTCTGCTTTTCTGCAAAATTGGTTGAAATTAGCCAGCTGGTTGGAAAGCCAATGGGAGAAACAAAGGTAAGGGCGGACAGACCAGAAAGACAATCTTGTGACAAAAAAAAAAAAAAAGAATAAGAGAGTAAATATGCCTTTAATCTACCTTCAGATTGCTAGAAGATAGGATTGCCTGAGTTTAGAGTCTTCCGTTAGAAGAATCTGTGGCCACCATAATCCCTGTCCCCATTTCCTTTGAAGTGACTGGATG